GTTGCCCAGGCTGGAGTGCAATGGCGCGATTTCGGCTCACTACAACCTCTGCCTCCTGGGTTTAAGCAATTCCCCTGTCTTCCTCTCCTGAGTAGCTGGGATTACGGGGTGTGCCACTTCCCCGGCCATTTCATCTGTTTTTTTTCCTTCAGATTATTTCAAAGCAAATCTCAGAAATCGTATCATTCTGTTTATAAATAGTTGGGAATGTACTGTTAAAAGATAATGTTTTAAAAATTACTATAGTACCATTATAATACTGAATTATCTGATTGCCTCACATAGTAGTTTTAAAAAATAGTTGGTATGGGCTGGGTGTGGTGGCTCACGCCTATAATACGAACACTTTTGGGATGCTGAGTCGAGTGGATCTCGAGGTCAAGAGATCGAGACCATCTTGGTCAACATGGTGAAACCCTATCTCTAAAAATAGAAAAATTAGCTGGGCATGGTGGTGCGTGCCTGTAGTCCCAGCTACTCGGAAGGCTGAGGCCAGAGAATTGCTTGAACCCAGGAGGCGGAGGTTGCAGTGAGCTGAGAACGTGCCACTGCACTCTAGCCTGGGTAAGGAGTGAAACTCCGTCTCAAAAAAAGAGAGAGAGAGAAATTTATTGTCTAACAGGCCAGGAAGTTGAGAATGGCTTAGCTGAGCATAGCTCTACTGGGTTTTCTGCTTAGTGTCCTCCCAAGCTGAAATTAAGATGTTAACTAGAGTTTTGCTTTCATCTAAGACTTTGTATCCTTTTCTAGCTCACTTGTTGGCTGAATTCAGTTTCTTTCGGTTATTACACATAGGTCCTTAGCTACTAGAGTCTTCTCTCCACAACATGGCAGATTGCTTCATCCTTGAGTTCAGTAGGGAAGCATTTCAATCTTTTAACAGGCTCACGTTGATTAGATCAGGCCCATCTAGAAGATCTCTCTTTTGATTAAATCAGAGTCAGCTTATTAGTGGGACAATTACTTGAATGATAGCTGATCATATTTACAGGTATCAACCATACTCAGAAGGTGAGGGGATTATGCAGGGTGTTTATACCAGATGACGGTAATTCTGGGGCCACTTCAGGATTCTTTGTACCACACCTTGTAAACAGGACAAGATATTTGGGGGAATTTTCCATTTTTATATAATGGCTTTACCCCCATTGATAGAAGTTACTACATATCCAGGCTAGGATACCATAATACTTTAGTGAATACTCGTCCTATCCCAGATCCGTTTCATACATTGCCTTATTCAATCTCTAGTACAACCTTGTAGAGACTATTGATAATCATTTTCAGTTTGCAGTTTCAGATACAGAAGCTAAGAGGGTTTAGGTAGCTTGATGAAATGGAATTTGGGTCTGAATAGCCTATGCTAGTTTTACTTCACCAGACTATTTCCAAGTGTGAATCTTGATTTGCATATCACAATTTTATGTAAGTACAGTATCTATTCAGATAATTTGCTGCAAATCTGTGACTTATTTGTAGTTTTTTGAATGTGACAACGATTCTATAGTCAGTTTAAAAAAGAGGAAGTGTCCTTTTAATGAGACATTTACAAACATTTACAGATGAAATTACATACTTATGTTTGCTTCAGAATGATTTGTGGGATCTGGGGAGTCAGATAATGGGTAAGAGGCTATTAGTGAAACAGAACTGGACTTAAGTTGATAATTTTTGAAGCTGGGTGATGGGTAATAGGATTTATTATTCTCTTCTGTCTACTTTGGTGTATGTTTGAAAATTTCTATATTCAACATCAACAAATCCATTTGTTACTAGTTTCAATTATAAATAAGAAAAAAAGTACCTCAAGTTTTATTCCATCACCATCATAATGTTGCTGTTTTTAAAGTTGTTTTTTTTTTTTTTTTTTTGAGATGGAGATTCGCTCTTTCACCCAGAATGGAGTAAAAGTGATACGATCTCAGCTCACTGCAACCTCCACCCACTGGGTTCAATAGTTTCTCTCTCCTTAGCCTCCCAAGTAGCTGGGATTAGAGGCGCTTGCCACCACGCTTGGCTGAGATTTGTAATTTTAGTAGAGACAGGGTTTCTCCATGTTGGTCAAGGTGGTCTCGAGCTCTTGACCTCAGACAATCCAGCCATCTCAGGCTCCCAAAGTGGTAGGATTACAGACGTGAGCCATCGTGCCCAACGGCGTCATGTTTTTATAATTTTAAAATCATGAGTCTCTATTTCTTTTCATGGAACCGTAAAACTGTTTATTACAAGCATTTCTTTTACTAACAGTATTGTGTAATGGTTAAGGGCATGGACTCTGGGGATCAGTCCTCTGGGTAAATCTCAGTGTCGTGATACTCAGTAGTTGTATGACTTTGTGCAGGTTACTGAACTTCTCTGTCCCTCAGTTTTTTCGTGTCAAATGGTAATACTTGTATCTATCTTATATAGTTACTGAATATATTATGTAATGGATAGAGATTAGGATAAGACAGCAGAAAGTACATGTACACACACACACGTACCTCTGTGCATATATTATATCTACTTAAGTTTTATTTTAAATAAGGAACTTGTGATAATTGTTTCCATTTTGTAATGAGGAGGTATTAGTATGTTCCTCTCATTATTTTTGAGCCTGTGGTTCTGAAACCAGTGTTTCTAAATGGTTTTTCTTTTCACAGCATGTATGTACAATGTTTTTCGGTGTGAGTCATGTTGACATCCTGAGTCGCACAGTTCTTGTTTGGGACCGTCTTTCACATTATAGAATGTTTATATTTGCCTTCCCTTCCTCCTACATTAAATACCAGCTCTGACCAATAATTGTGACAGCCATAAATATGATTGCGCATTTTCAAATGTTCTCTAGAAGAATAGAGCTATCTTTGGTTGGGAGCCACATGTTCATTCAAATTGTAATGGTAGTACTATAGATTAGTTTGGAGTTCTCCTCCCTCCTCCCCCCTCCCATCTCTCTCCTCCTCCTCTTCCTCTTCTTCCCCTTCCTCCCCCTTTTCTCCCCCCTCCTCCTTTTTTAGGCATAGCAAGCAACAACAGGGAGCAATTCTTTTTTCACAACTCTGCATAACAAATGTGTGTTGAAATATCCAGAGTGAGAACTGTTGTGCTAAATTACTGACATTATTAGAGTAATTTAAAATTTTTTGGAGAGTTTTGATTTTAGAAGACATAAAACATCCTGGCTTTACTGAACCAAAATATTGGTATATTAGTTCATTCTTGCATTTCTATAAAGAAAAGAGGTTTCATTGACTCGTGGTTCTTCAGTCTTTGCAGGAAACATAGTGGCTCAGGAAGCTTCCAAACATGGCAGAAAGCAAAGGGGGAGTTGGACAGCTCACATAGTGGGAGCAGGAGCAAGAGAGTGAGGGGGAGGTGCTGCATATTTTTTAAACAACTGGATCTCTTGAGAACTCACTGTCACGAGAATAGTGCCAAGGGGATGGTGTTAAACCATTCATGAGAAGTCCACCTCCATGGTCCAACCACCTCCCACCAGGCTCCACCCCCAACATTGGGGATTACAATTGACATGAGATTTGGTGAGGACACAGATCCAAATCATACCAATTGGATTTGTGGTATTTGAGTAAATGTGTCTGTATTTTGGAAAATGATTTCTTTGAGATTAACTATGAACAACTCCTTTTCTTGTAGGTGATAGAAATTGAAGATGCTTCACCCACCAAGTGTCCAATAACAACCAAGTTGGTTTTAGATGAAGATGAAGAAACCAAAGAACCTTTAGTGCAGGTTCATAGAAATATGGTTATTAAATTGAAACCACATCAAGTAGATGGTAAGAAACTGTTAGATGATTTAATAATTTTTAGTTAGATTTTACCAATATTTGGGAGTAAGGCAGGTGCCTCACATCCTGTTAAGTGCTGGAGGTAAATTGTTAGGGTTGGGGGAATATCCACAATCTCCTTGCCTTTATGGAGCTCATAAGCAAATGAAGAAGAACAAAATTGGGTGATTGCAAACATAGTGAGTGTTATAAAAAAGGAAAGAAGTGCTACTTACAAATGGGTAGATAGCAAGTGGGTTTCACCTGGTCAGCAAAGACTGGCTAAGGGCAGGTAGGGGGTGAGAAGAGTTGTATCTAGCTAAAAGCCTTCTTCAGAAAATGCTATTTCAGCATTTTCAGGTATGTGTTACAATAATATTCCTACATTGGCATTAGAACGATATCAAACTATTCCTACCCTCTGCTTTATTAGAGTTGAATCAGTAAGTCAGTTTTGAGTGTTTATGTGAATTGATTCATAAGGGAAGTTCTGTAGTTCCTGCTTCTTGAGTTACTAGTCCCCTTTCTTGCTCATTGTTTACTATCAAATAAAGGAAAAGATGATGAAATTATCTCCTGGGTTGTTTTTTTTTTTCCTTATTGACTCAATAAACTCAAAGGTATATTTTATAGGAAGTCATTCCCTCTTTGGATAAAGTTGCTCTCTTTTTACCAACAATTATCAGTATTATTTGAGATGGAGTTTCTCTCTGTCACCCCAGCTGGAGTACAGTGGTGCTATCACATCTCATTGTAATCTCTGCCTCCTGGCCTCCAGCGATTCTCCCAACTCAGCGTCCTGAGTAGCTGGGACTACAGGTGCACGCCACCATGCCTGCCTAATTTTTTATATTTTAGTAGAGATGGGGTTTCACCATGTTGGCCAGGCTGGTCTCGAAATCCTAACCTCAAGTGATCTAATTGCCTTGGCCTCTCAAAGCGCTGGAATTACAGGTGTGAGCCACTGTGCCTGGCCACATTTCTCTTTTAGGGTATTCTTATGTTTCTTTGAACGATTTCAGGGAATAGAGAATGTCTGCTGTGAATAGCTTAGATAAGATGAAGGAAAGTCCCCTGTTCTATGTTGGTGTTAACTTGCTTCTGGTTTACTTTAGTGGGAAAAAATTCCATTTACAATTCTTTAGCTGAGTGTTTTTTTTTTTTTAAATGCTGTTGCTTAGAAGTTTTGGTTATATTTTTGATGTGTTTATATAAAGGGAGTTTTTAACTTGGACCTTTAAATTTAACTTAATGAAGCTGTTACTTTCAGGTGTTCAGTTTATGTGGGATTGCTGCTGTGAGTCTGTGAAAAAAACAAAGAAATCTCCAGGTTCAGGATGCATTCTTGCCCACTGTATGGGCCTTGGTAAGACTTTACAGGTAAGAGCTGAAGAATATGAAGGTATCCTGTTTTTGTGTATTCATTAATATATATTTGATTCTGTTATGTTTCAGGCACAGTCGTAGGGACTGAAGATAAAGCAGGCAACAAGAATAACAAGATTTGTCTCCAAGGAGCTTATATTCTAGTGGAGGAGAGAGCTGCTAATCAAATAAGAAATATGTACTTTCAGAAAATGAATGTTAAGGGAGGATATTGAGTTAGGAAAGGCATCTTTTAGGAGGTGATGTTTGAGCAGAGGCCCTAATGAAGTGAGGTTCTGGGGTTTCAGGTATGGCCAACAACAACTGCAAAGATTTTAAGGTAGAAATTAACTTTGTTTTTTAATTTTTTTTTAACAACTTTCTAACAGTTTATGATGTTAAAGTAATAAGAAAGTAAGGTATCTTTTACTGTTAAAATTACTGCATTTCTAAATGGCAGGAGTTGTAACAGAGATGTAAAATTAGTGAATGTATTTGTACTTTTAAACCATAAAGTAATTATGTATTTAATGAGTCAGAATACATTAAAGTGGAAAAGTATTATATAATCTGATTCTCTTCTAAATGAGAAATGGTATTTTCTGAAAGACTATAGGGACATTCTGTGGAGACCCAGGACTTAGTAGCTGTTTTGGTATGGGATCATTTTATGCTATTCACATTGATCATAGAATCATGGAGCTTTAGAGTTGGAAGAGCCTGATACATCATCTTGTTGAACTTTCACATTTTACGATTATATCTCTTTCCCTATACCTTGCCTGGTTTGGAAATTCCAGCCTTTTGGTTGGTTGCTTTATTTTTTAAAGCAAAACAAAGCTACAACATGGTAAGATTGCTTAATTTATTAACTTTTTTGTGAGTATTTAAACGAAGGTGACAATCTGTTTTCTTATAGGTGGTAAGTTTTCTTCATACAGTTCTTTTGTGTGACAAATTGGATTTCAGCACGGCATTAGTGGTTTGTCCCCTTAATACTGCTTTGAATTGGATGAATGAATTTGAGAAGTGGCAAGAAGGATTAAAAGATGATGAGAAGCTTGAGGTACCTTATTTTAAATGTTTTCTATTATTAAAATAATCACATGCAATTCATATAGTAAACTATTTTTAATTACCAGTGATGCATATTTCAGTGGGAATATTTAGTATTCACATGTTTTTAGTAGCTACTTAAAAAAATCTTTATTTCCCCACAAAAGGTTTCTGAATTAGCAACTGTGAAACGTCCTCAGGAGAGAAGCTACATGCTGCAGAGGTGGCAAGAAGATGGTGGTGTTATGATCATAGGCTATGAGATGTATAGAAACCTTGCTCAAGGAAGGAATGTGAAGAGTCGGAAACTTAAAGAAATATTTAACAAAGCTTTGGTTGATCCAGGTAAGTATTAATAGACAGTGACATAAAGAAGCACGTTGAATCAAAAATGTGTTTTTATTTTATTTAACAGATACTAATTGAACAACTACTAAGTATCTGGTCTTTGTTTTGTTTATCCTTAAGGTTTTTGCCTTTAAAAAAATTCTTAGTGTTATTTCAGTAAGACAAAATCACCCTTAATGTTGCCAGCTGTTCAGAATTTATTTGCTGAGTCTAAAAGTGTTTAGGGTTTTAGGGAATACCTTGTAAACACTTAAAAATGCATCAGATGCCTGTGTTGTAATCAAAAATTCTTCCAGCTATCCAAATATTTGTTGATAACAAGAGCTCTCTCCGTAGCATGAAAACAGTTCATGTCTTTCCAAACTTCATGTCATTAGAAGAATTGCTACTTGCTTATCTCCTGTTTTCTAAGGGGTCATCAGTATGAAAGGTTCATATTTTCAATACTGTTGATCCTTTTGTGACAGAAATCTGATGTGAGAGCCAAATGTTTATATACTTGCCACTTAGAAAAGCAACATGTTGTACTGCCTGCAAAACTAAAATTAATTTTTAATCTACGATTATTGTGCAATTTTTTCTTCATGTGTTGTCATATGTTACTTTAAGACACTATTGAGGCTCTATGTTTGTTGAGAAAATCTGGCTAGTTGTCATTGTCAAAGGGATAGTAGTCTTTAGAATCCATGGCTTTGCCTTTTTTTTAAAGATAATGAGGTATTTAATACGTAGCAAAATAACTTTGCCATCACAAATCTAAGGCCTAATAATAAGTTTATGTTTTTCTTATGATTAAAATACGTGTCTAAAAATCCTGTGGGTGGTTTATTGTTGAAAAGTTATAAGCTAGTGTTTAGTATCATCATAGCAGATTTTTTTCACAACATTTCCTTGAAACAGTTTAATACAACAGTTTCAGGTGCTTAGTTGTACTTATTTGTTCAGAGAAAATGGAGAAAAAAAGAAATTAAAGCTTCTAATGTGAAGGGTAACATTTGTCATTTCCATGTTTTATCATTTAGTGACATTTTAATAAACTTTTTGGCTGGGCATGGTGGTTCATGCCCGTAATCCTAGCACTTTGGGAGGCTGAGGTGGGTGGATCACCTGAGGTCAGGAGTTTGAGACCAGCCTGGCCAAAATGATGAAACCGCATCTCTACTAAAAATACAAATATTAGCCAGGCGTGGTGGCGCATGCCTGTGGTCCCAGCTATTTGGGAGGCTGAGGCAGGAGAATTGTTTAAACCTGGGAGCTAGAGGTTCTAGTGAGCTGAGATTATGCCACTGTACTACCGCCTGGGTGACAGAGCGAGACTCCGTCTCAAAAAAGGAAAAAAGAAAACAACCTTTTATTTTGGAATAATTTTCTGTTTACATGAAAGTTGAAAAGGTAGTGCAGAGAGTTCCCATATACCCTATATCTGGTTCCCCCATTGTTAACATCTTACATTGCCATAGTAGATTTGTCAAAACTAAGAAATTAACACATTGTTGACACATTATTAATAACTCTAAACCACATTTGGATTGCACCAGTTTTTCTATCCAGGGTACTACATTATATTTAGCTGTCAGGTCTCTAATAGTCTTCTGGTCTATGACAGTTTCTCAGTCTTTATTTTTTCATTATCTCATTAGTCTTAAGGAGGACCATCCAGGTAAATATCCTGTAAAGTGTTCACTAATCTGAATTTATAGTTTTTCTTGAGATTAGACCGAGGTTTTGAAAGAATGTACCAGAGGTGACATACCCTTTTTGTCACATCATATCTCATATCGGGGGTACATGATACCCACATGCTGTCACTGATGATGTAAACTTGCATCACTTGGTTAAGGTAGTGTTTGTCAGGTTTCTCTCCTGTAGAGCTGCTACTTTTACCTGTCCCTCATCTGTTCATTGGAATCCAGTCACTCAATTTAGTCCACCTGAATGGGAGCATGGCAGAAATTAAGCTCCATCTCCTATAGTGGGTAGTATCTACATACAAAATTTGGATTTTTTAAAAGAAACATTTATCTTTTCTCACCCATTTATTTAGCCATTAATTGATATCATTATCTACTCATCTATTTTTATTTTGTACTTTGGACTATAAACCATTACGACATTATTTTATAGCTCAAATTGTTTCACTTTGGCAATTGGGGGCTTTTTTTAAGGTTAGGTCCTCTACCCTTTGATATGTCCCCATCCTTTTGGCTTTGAGCACTTTATTACTTTCTGGCATTACAGGATGCTCCAGGTTCATGTTATATTGTCCTGGCCCCAGAATCAGCCATTTCTCGAAGACATCATGGTTCCTTTTATTGAAAAATGACATTTACAAATGTAAACATACCCATTTAATTTGCAAATGTGTCTGTCCATTCTGC